TCTGTTCCCCCGGGACGCGTATCTGCAGTTTCTACTTCCCCTCGGTTCACTCGTTCAAAGCACCCCCCCACACACCCTAGTGGTGGTTGTGATGGCTGTAGCGGCGGCAGCTATTCAGATCCCTCGCACCGACATGCTATGGGCCTTGGGGTTCAGAAAATCCGCCACTGTCACCGAACTTTTGTAGTGAGCAGCTTCACTGTTATCAGACTCAATATCAGGCTCAACCTATCGGAGCCTTCTACGGTTCGCCAATCCAAGCAATGGGGCTTAGGTTACCATGAGTGAACAATGGGTCATCATGACTATTGGGTTCAACCCGTAAGCTGTCCATCACTCCGAAACTTGTGATATGGAACAGGGCTTATCGTGAATATATTACGTTGATGACATATGATCATCCGGACACTCCATGTTGTAGCGAACTCGAATATGTTAATCGAATATATATCGGATATATTAATGCACCCCGGTGCAATAATCTCTTCCGATTTTCGTAGGCGCAAAAATGTCAGCAAGAAATCAGCCTACTGATATTTAGATACACGAAGCACTACTTGTATGTCCATAGAGTAGAGTGAAGCGATATCTCCAAAAGACCGTTGTGATTCTTACCAACGAGCGGATGTGGTGGTCGCAGCAACATCTTCTCTTTACCTAAATTGATATCTGCTGGGAGTTTCACAGCTGCTGTCCATCAGATTGCTGAAACTGGTGCATGACTGTATGCCAAGTAGAACTTGCTTACTCTTCTGAATGTCTCCTTGGATTGCGCAAAGCATGCCTCACGGACGCGCTACCGGAAGTGGGGTGAACGAGATACCGGCCGCATGGACCCTTTGTGTTCTGTACCCGTCATTTCGCCCCCCCCCCTCCAAAAAAAACCTCATACTGGTCTGCAAAACAGAACGCACAGGAATTTTGAATTGTCCACAATAGTACTTACACACACGATTCTAATGGTATCCTAAGAAGACTACTTTATGCTCGGCTACCAGCCTAAAAACCTCAACAGGTTCCGAATAAAATGGAATAATGAACCGGTGTGCTTAAAAGCAAAAACAAATTTATCTAGCAAATATGCTTTTGAAGAACCAAACATCTTGGTTATACTAGCTCCAGATGACCTTGTTCTTTCCTAAAGTCGGTCATGCACAACTGTACTCGGTCCATTAGGCACAGTTGTCGTTTTTACAAGTTGGAACTGCACAGTTAGATAACACATGTGAGCAGGCGTTCAGGAAAAGCGGATCCCTCCAGTTGGATTGATCTGCATCACAACGCGTCCAACAGCAGTCACGTGCACATGTGAGTTAGAAATGTGTTCGTGTAACAATAGCACGAAATGCATGCGATATGCAGTCAGCGATCCAGGATGCATGCAGTTCTTCTGTGTATAGGGGGAAGGGAGTGCACTGGTAAGGAATGTCTTGGTCATGCATAACATTGACTCGAAAGCATCAAGCTCTGGTCGGTGTGAACAGAATGTTTCGGTCGGCTTGTGTCTGTGAATACACGAAGTATTACGCAACTTACTGTGTATGCCTAGTATTTGTTTGCCACATCGTGCTCTGTTCGCATTTGTGGCTTCACAAAGACCGAATCCCCGATGACATGTGATGTGGTAACGGGACGTTCTTTATCACGGTTGTCTTGATTTTCTGGGCAGGAATCCAAACAATCTGGTAACTGGTTAAATTGAGACACTACAGGACAAGAAGTCAAACCAAAAGCCCCACATTTCTTCTGCCCTTCTCAATTTCATCTGTGTGTGTGTGTGTGCGCTGGAACAACTAGGCTTTGTATTCTGCTGATCATGTTGGCATAATTGGGTTTCTTCTCCAGTGACTACGCTGTTTTCCCAGGCAACGTATTAGTTCATTCACTTCGCATGCACTTGGACCTTTCTTTATTCCGCCACGCGATGATAGGGTTAATAACTCAGTTTTGCTATTATTATTACTATTATTGTTATAACTATCATTATTATCTGTACACTGGATCACAGTGTGTTTTGGGGGTCAACTGATTACATGCTTCCTTTGATTTTGGCTATCGCCCTTTTTCATAGTTCGTGTTGCGTTCAGATCCTACGCATTTTCCATCTGACAGTGTTAAAGTGTTGAAAATGAAGAAAATGAAATCGTGATATTAGCTTGCACGCACCCGTCAGAAGAACTCGACTGATCTCCCCACTTCGTTACTACTAATCTTAATCTGGTCCTGTCCAGTTTATTTCAATTTGCTCGCAAATTGCTTTTGTTGTGCTTAATGATCCACAATCGTATGATTCAGGCCGGAGTTTTATTATTATTATGTCGTAATATGTTATACTTTACACTTGTGTTAGTTCGGACTATGTATCGAACAAATCATGGTTCAACAGTCTTTATAACAATCACAAAACGTGGATGGAATATTACCAGGTTGCTTAAGCCAAAGCAGGGAAAATGTTTGAGATTCATACTGGAGTCTTCAACCCACCCAAGCCAACCAGGCGGTGAGTAAAAGCCGCTGTTCACTGGGGCGCGGTCGGTGTCCAGCATGCTGAATACCCCTCGATGTCCGATCATTGAACACATCCAGAACCACAACTTGTGTGTGTGTGTGTGTGTGTGTGTGTGTAGTTCTGCCTCTTCTTGGTTGATTTGGAATCACGTTTCTTAGCCGACTCCAGTGGTTCACCGATCCGGATATTGGCTTTGCATCTCCTCTGCCACATGAAGGTAATAAGTAAAGGTGTTTTAGTATTGATTATTTGAGATCCCTTGGTCGCATCGAAGCGTTTTGCATGGTACCTGTTCAGGGTAACCATGTCGGTGTTTTTGCTGTTGAATGACTTCCTAACTTCGTTGACTGTAGCGGTTAAAAATATTTTCTGTTTTACTGTCCCCTCACCACTCCAACCCCGCTTGTCCGCACCATGCATTTGGACCTCTACACTCGATCGAACTCAATGGATCTGGCGCTCACCGGTTTTGTCCCGGTACTTTTTATATTGCACAGATGATTTTCAAATAGACCCGATCCACACTCGTCCGAGCCTAGAACCTCCACCAAACACCCTTGTCCTGAACAACATTTCCTATCCAGATGTCGTGGGGCGCTTGCGTGACGAGTACGAACAAACACGAAATGATGATTCCACCAATTCTAGCCCGAAAAACAAGAAGTACGCATGCTATTCCCTTTTTGTTTGCGTTTTGTGCCACTCTAGTGTCTAATACCATCCACCTGCAATCCTGTCATGCTGCTGTGTTGTTTCGAATTGTTTAAACTTAGTGCCTCACGATTTGCTCGGTGTTTTTTTACTATCATGTTTATGCTTCGTCCGATGCTCTTGTCCCTTGTATTGCTGTCATAACACAGACTGTCTTTCGGACTATGGAACCTTTCGTTTTATTCTGTCACACTTTAGTATGGTGAGCTATAGGTGGAGACAGTCCCATGTCCGGGGGAATTCGTGATCACTTATGAAAACCGCTTTTCTCCTAATTTGAGGTGGTGAACCACATTTTCGCTCAATGTGGAGCCAGTGTGTTAGGGTCGTGAACTGAAGCCTCTCGTCCACCACTGCCACTACACGTATAGGAAACCTAGGTTGATAGGGCCTGCAATAACCAGCCGGTTAGGTGCTCTTTACTGCTATTGTCAATTGAATGAGTCTGTTTGCATCTGTTATTTCAAGTCAATCTTATCCTCTTGCTTTTTTATCGAAAGGGGTGTTATTGTGTTGTTCTTCCATGATGTGAATTTAGGGCATGTTTTTTTGTATTGAATTCATAAGTCAAATGTTATCGTCCATCACTTGATTTGTATAATCACAAAAATCTAGCTGTATCGCCGTTCTATATTCAACCCGACATTCGCTTGCTCACGAGAGGGATTCCATTGAATTTTCTCTACACTAGGTAATTGATTGAATAATATTTATTCGTAATGCAGTCCGGATCCAAACCTGGAAGGTTGCGAGTCCAACATGTGTTCATCAGATTAACCCGTGTCGGTTCCAGTTGTTGGTTTCAAGTGGAACACTTCATGATGTGGTACCCATCTGTCTCTCTCTTTGAATGTTGATTATCATTTAAAGTTTATAAAACCATTTAGCCTGCACCTTCGTGCAGTGATTTTGGTTATTGTCTTCCGGTTACTCATTTGGATGAAGAAACATGGGGAAGGTTGGAATGTTGGAAGCAGTGTCAATATGATGATGAAGAATCCAGGTAGAGTAAGGTTGCAGGGATAGTTAGTTGATGATCTCAGCCATATAACTTGGTATTTTTAACCATCGATTGCACTGATCTCGAGGTCCTCACGCAGGACATCAGTCTTCGGACTTGTCATCCAGACTATGTTGTACTTACCGTTTTCACAGCTGCAGCAAAATGTAACGCAACACAGCTACGGTCAACGAACAATAAAATACACCTATATTTTAATCCAGTTACTCGTTGGTAGTAGGGTGGAATGATTATTGTTGATTTTTCTGAACACAGAAAGAGGATTGATACAGTAAACTGCAAGGATTTCGCCGACTAGTGTAAAACACTGATTTATGTATCATGCACAGAACGAACGCAGCGGTGAAAATGAACTTACTCAAAACAGCTGGACCACAGGTCAGTTGGTTTTTCGCCCTCAGAACTGATATTGGAGAGGTCACGTCACGAATAGCGAAAACGAGAGTAGCTTGTGCCGCGCCATGACATCTGTTTGTCCTTTAAGGGAACGATGTACATCGCTACGGTTGCGACACCTGGCCCCTCTGCATTGAGAATGCTAATCGGCTTTCTATATTCGACCACGGATGTCTCCAAAGCATTGCTCGTGTATGTTGGGAGCATCAGATGAGCAATGACGAGATCCGTCATCGTTTGTTGGGTGTAGATAGTCGCTCTCTAACAGAAGTAATCGCTTTATACTGCCTCCAATGACTTGGTCACGTATTGCGTATACCTGCCCATTGACTACATTTCTGTGCTCTCTTTTCATGTGCTGGTGGAGGCTGGAAGAAGCGCCACGGCCATCGGACTATGACACGCTGTAGAGGTATGAAGAAGCTGACTTCAGTTTTGTCTTCGGTTGGTGCAGCCCGCCTTCCAGGCTGAGACCCAAGGGATGAGGATTGTCGTTGGTTATAGATGCTAAGAAGTTAGTGTCGCGAATACTGTATGGTCTAGCTGTTGAAATCCCTTACCCCGGAAAAAATAAACTAGGACACAAAAGGTGAAATAAATTGGTATTATCGTCATTCACCCTAATTGTCTAACTCCTTTTTACTCTTCTTTGTATCCCAACCCCCTTGTTCTGTTATTCTAGCTGTTGGGTCGACACCAAGCTTGCTCTCACGCCGGTGATAAATACATGTGCGAATAAGCAAATAGTAAACTGTGAATGGCAAAAACCTTGGAACCTGTTTCCTTTTTGTTTTTTATCTATAGTAAATCATGATTTAAAGTGCACTCTAATATGAACATATATCACGGCTCATTTGCTTATAGTGCACACCACAGAAAGTTTCCCGCTCCAGGGAGCATATTGATCTACACGCCTCTTATATGATCTGTCACTTNCGGGTCGATAGATGAATGGTACAGCGGATCGTGGGCCAAAATGCTGGACAAACTCAGTGGCTGGACATAGTTCAACGATAATAGCGAAAACAGAAATCCAGACTTCCTTGTCCGCAAA